AGCAAACAAGCAGACAAACAGGTTGCGGGATCAAATCCCGAAGGACTCAAAACCAGGCAACATCAAACAAGGTTAGTGTACAGCTCGCATGCCACTGCAATTCATTGCACACGCATGTCCTCTCTTACACCCGAAGACCACCCCTGCGCCCCACTGTACATCCAAGCCCAGCCCGCTATGAAGGCTGGCTATGGCGCTGCCCTCAGCAGCGCCCTGCTTCAACACACGACCGCACGTGTGCAGCCTCTTGCTCCAATGCCAGCAGCCAGCCCGCGAGCTATCGCTCCAGCAGCGCTGCCGCCAGCCAGCAAGTGACCGAATGAGGCTGCCTGGGGAGAGCTCTTTCCTTTATGGAAAGAGTTGGCCTGCTCGTGCAGCCTGGCTGTCCTGGCCTGGGCCCAGAAGCTTCCGGAAGGCCCCAGGATGCTGCCTTTGCGCTGCAGCTACTGGGCCTTGTTCAGTTGGGCCTCTCAACTGTCAGTGTATGAGGCTGCGAATCACGCCCAGGGCCTGCATTCTTTGGAAAAGCCCGGTAGGCCCTGGAAATGTCTTTGTTGCTCGACCTGCGTTTCTCTCAACCAACTGGTGCGTCGCAATTGCCTGGACCCCAAATATGAAATTGACAGTCAAAGGCCTCTTGTGACAAGTTAGGCCCACCTTCACTTAGGGCGGGCACCACTGCAACCGGGGCCCCTTAGGCCTGCTGAGGACACAGATCCTCGCACTACAGTTAAGTGGCTGAAAGTCGACAGAATGCCTATGGATACCATATGTCGACGTTTCAAGAAAGCTGAGGAAACTGCGACTCACCTCTGGTGGAGTTGGATACAGTCGAAGAGAATTTGGGTCTGGTGGTCTAAACTATGGTCCAAAAACGTAGAGGACCAAGTGCAGTGGGATTAAAAATTTGTGATTGAGGGATGGCTGCATAACGCAAAGGAGGTGGGGAATTATGTAGCTTCTGCAGGTAGAGCGGCTACTATGCACGTCATCTGGAAAACCAGAAATGATAGAGTACTTAGATCCAAATTCAGATATCAGCCTGATGAACATGATTCTTGCAGAAATCAGGTCACTCATTTGCGCTGACTGGAGGAGAGCCAGAACGGCTTTGAACAGAAAAGCAGCCAGGGTTCACTTCTTCAAGACTTGGGGAGAAAAGGCTAGGATGCTCAAACTGAAGCCCTCGGGCATAATCCTGGAGCCCTGGCTGAAGGGGGCGAGGCCACAGTGAGTTGCTGGTCATGGGTAAACACAGTACTGGTTGTATCCTTTTGTACCTGGCTAGTATAGCATTCCGGAAGTTTTTCAGCTGGTCTCAGCTGGTTGAGGGTCTGTTCACACATAGGCTAGTTTGGATCTGCATATTTGGCGCCTTTCTAGGTGAAGAGTTCAGTGTAACCAGGCCCTACTGGTTGACGCGGCAGTAGACCATGATGAATTGAGAACGATGTTGTTACCTGGGATGCTGGACCCAGTTTCCGGCAGGTGCAGCTCCCCATGAATAGATCGGAGCCATCGAAGGAAAAAAAAAAAAAAAGAAAAAAAAAAAAGAAGCAAGTGCAAGGAAAATGAGCAATAGCGAGATGACAATGTCCACAATGCAGAATCACATTGAAGGCCAGATAGTATCACAGTGTCCAGAAAGCAGAAATGCACCAATATAACACCAATGAAGAATCGGTAACACTGAAAACCAATGTCAATGAGAGTTTGCTCTCGCCACCACCAACATGAGTGTCCAGGCCCTATCTCCCAACTTGGTGCTCGGCGCCCAGCCTACTTCCTACACAGCTACAGTCTGCGGACTAATTGACAATGCAACTGTTGACGTCAGCAGCTCACAAAGTACTTGAAGATGTCGCCCAATGCAGACTATCTCCAATACCAGGTATGTGCCCTCACATCATCATCATCATCATCATCCTTCTCTCTCTCGCCTGACTTACTCCCACATCTTCCCTCTGTACACCCGAAGACCACCCCTGCGCCTCACTGTAGTCCAAGCCCATCCAGCTATGGAAGCTGGGCTATGGCGCTGCCCTCAGCAGCGCCCTGCTTCCTGCACGACCGCACGCGCTAGCACCTTGCCTCTCAGCGCCAGCAGGAGCCTACGAGCGTCCGCTCCAGCAGCGCTGCCGCCAGCACGCGTGCTGAATGCCCTTCCAGGCAGCGAGCTCTCTCCTATATGGAAAGAGCCTGCCTGCCTCCGCAGCCTGACTGCCCTGGGCCTTGGCCCAGAAGCTTCCGGTAGGCCCCAGGTGGCTGCGCCTCTGATGCAGCTACTGGGCCTCGTTCAGTTGGGTCTCCCAACTGTCTGTGTATGAGGTTGAGATTCTTGTCCAGGGCCTGCATCTTCGGAAAGGCCTGGAAGGCCGTGGAAGGTCTTTGCTGCTCGGCCTGTGTTTTCCCTCAACCAACTGGCGCGTCACAACTGCCTGGACCCCAAATACGAAATTGACAGTCGAGGGCCTCTCGTGATTTGTTAGGCCCACCTTCACTTAGGGTGGGCACATTGTAGCAGGGGCCCCTTAGGCCTGCCGAGGACCCAGATCCTCGCACAAGTTTGGTCAATTCCGGAAAAAAAAAAAATCGGAATATTCCAGATGAGAATAGACACAGCAATTTCCGATTTTGAGAACTGGAATCCCCAAAACACAACTGTGAAGAGAGATTTACTGAAAGAAAGAAAAACGAAAAAAAATTGGAATGTCAAAGCAACGAAAAATTCGAAATTTCAAAAAAAAAAAAGGAAATCCAGATGTTCAGCTACTAAATTAATTGAAGTGATCCCAGTACTCACAACGTTCAACTTGCATACAACAGCGAACATCCACATGAGAGCTCACACATGAGAAGCCAAAACGAGATACAATCCACACTCCAGGATGTCGTCACCAGTGTTATTGCAAATATACAAGAATGTTTGTCACCCGCGGCTCTGCCGCACACAAGTAGCAATTGGCCTGTTGGCTCATGCGTTGCTGCGTCTTGGCCATTTGGTCGCATGCCTTGACAAGTAGCTCTTGCATCCGACGCAAGAAAAAAAGATGGTCGTCGCTCTCGACCGTTTGTGGAATGATTGTGTCCAACGGAGAAGTGACTGGCGGGCCGTGCTCGAACTCGAAGGGCGACATCCCGATAGCCGGGTGGATGGACGAGTTGTATGCCAACTCGACATCCGGCAGCCGCTCAACCCAATCCTTTTGGTCGAGACGGATGCGAGTGCGAAGGAGAACCTGTGCGGTCAGATGCGCCGTCTCCGTTTGGCCATCAGTTTGGGGGTGGCGAGCCGAACTAGGCTTGAGAGATGAGCCCCATCGTTTGATGAGCGCCAACCAAAAATTGGACATGAACCGAGTGTCGCGGTCGCAGGCGATTTCCTTGGGGTAACCCTTGGTTCGAATCCAACCGGCGTAAAGAACCTCGGCTAACTCCGGCGCCTTCGCATGACAGCGGCAAGGCAAAAACATAGCGAACTTGGTGAGTCGGTCGACCACCGTGAGAATCCCATCCACTCCGGTCTTGTGCTTGGGGAACGGGCCGGTAATGTCCATGGCAATCGTTTCCCTTCGCCGCAAGGGGACCGGTAACGGTCGCAACTCGCCGTACGGACGATGATTGCRGGATTTGCARYGYCGGCAAACCTCGCATGACTCGCAATAGCGTGTGACGTCGTCGAGAAGACCGGGCCACCAAAAGCGCTCGCGGAGTCGGCCAATCGTACGATTGATGCCAAAGTGTCCGGTGGCGGGAGCGCGTGGAACTCGCCAAGAAGCCGTGTGCGTAAGTGTAAATCTCGTGGCACACAAAGAAGATCCTTCCCTCGCAAGTGAACGAGCAAGTACCCCTCTTGGATCCAATAGTGCGATGGCGCCGGATTAGGAGAGGAGCAATTTGCGTACTTGTCGCAAAACTCGGGGTCGACTTGGTAACCGCGGATGAAGCTGTCCCGCAAGTCGCCGTTAATCTCAAAAGTCGAGTAGACTGTGGTACAATGGTCCGGACACCATGAAAGAGCATCCGCAAAACGGTTTGACTTGCCCGGAATGTGGTCGGGGAAAAAGTCAAACTGGTCAATGAAGGTCATCCAACGGGCAATGGTGCTATTGACCGTGTCTTGGGTCTTGTAGAAGACCAATGGATTATTACTCGTTACCCATCGGAACTGCCATCGTCCGAGAACAAAATGCTGCCAGCGCTTTAGCGCATGAACGAAGGCCAATAATTCCTTCTTCCGTGCATCGTCAATCGAGTGCACGACGGACACTTTCTTGCTAAAGTACTCGATCGGGTGCCAGTCCACACCGTTATGTTGCTCGAGGACGACACCAATGCCATAGCCGGACGCATCGGTAGTGACACGTGTCGGCAAAAGCGGATCGTAGATGTGCAACACCTCCGCGGATAGCAATGTGGCTTTGAGAGCCAAAAAGGAAGTCCGCGCATTGTCGTCGAAGACGAATGGCCGGTCCTCGCATTGAAGCTTGGATAAAGGAGCCGCGATCTTCGAGTCTCTCTTGATGAAGCGTTGATAGTAGCTGGCTAAGCCAAGGAAGGAATGGAAATTTGTGACGGTCTTCGGCTCCGGCCACTCTTGGATGGCTTGAATCTTGTCTGACAATGGACTGATGCCCTTCGGTGTGACAAAATGGCTCAAGTATTCCAGCTCTTGCCATACAAATTCGCACTTGTTGCGGTTGGCTTTGTACTTGGCGCGGCGGAGCGTCTCCAACATTCGTCGAAGGTGCTCAAGATGATCCTCCAATGTCCGACTATAGACGAGGATGTCGTCTAAGTAGACTAGTACGAACCGGTCCAGCATCGCACGAAACTCGTTGGTCATTGCTGCTTGAAAGGTCGTCGGGGCATTGGTGAGGCCAAAAGGCATAACAATCCACTCAAAATGCCCGTACCGCGTCTTGAACGCGGATTTGTACCAATCTTGCGGGCGTATTGAGATTTGATGGTAGCCCGACTTCAAGTCCAACTTTGAGAAGAATTTTGTGCCGCCCAAACGCTCGAGAAGGTCGTCACTCCGCGGAAGAGGTCCCGCATTCTTGACGGTTTGTGCGTTGAGCTTACAGTAGTCGATGCACAAGCGAAGATCCTTGTCCTTCTTCCGTACGAAGAGAACTGGCGCACCGTATGGTGAGCTACTAGGGCGGATCCAGCCTTTGTCCAAAAGATCGTTGAGTTGAGCGCGGAGAACCTCAAGCTCTTCCTCGCTCATGTGATAGATGCATCCTTTGGGCGGCACGACACCGGCCTCAAGAATGATATCGTGGGAGACCGGCCGATCCGGCACCACACCGCTAGGAGACTCGAAGATGTCGGTGAACTCGTCGAGCAGCCGCACCACTCGGGGGTCCAAAGACAAGTCCGTAGGTGAAGATTCGGTCGTCGCGGCGGCTCGTAGAAAGCATAGGCCTATCTCGTCGGTCCGCTCGTAAGCGCAAGTGGCCCGAAAAGACTTGGTCGTTACAACTTGGCACCGGATCGAGGAGTGCGGAAGAGGAATGGTACACGACACCTCGGCGCCGAAGGCGTCGCGAACGGTAAGTGTCCGCTGATGGAAGTTAACCGTGTGATCCGCACTTGCAAGCCAAGGCATCCAAAATAATATCGAAGTCTGTGTCTAAGACGTCAAACGTCACTGGTTCGCAGGCGTGAGGTGCGAAATAAACCGGCACGACTTCAATGTAGCGATCGAGGAGTTGCTGCGTCTGACCGTCCGCCAACTTGATCACCGTCGGGTTTGGCTTCCTTCGAACTTGTGCGCCAAGGCCGGCCCTTTGGATAAAGGACTGGTTGATGAAATTGCAAGTCTCGCCACTATCCAGCAAAGCGCTGCAGGACGCTTGCCCAACTTGGATGCGGACATAAAGGAGCGGTGCGTTGTTATCATCGTACCACTGCATGCGAAACTCGTGGGCCACCTTGGTAACATACGCAAGGATGTCCCCCACCACAGCTTCATCATCCGTCGGCGAAGATGGTGGTGCATAGAAGGCTGAGTATGTGTGGAGATGGGCGCATAGTGCTGCGCATTGCGGTCCCAGCAAGCAGCCTGTGGAAGGGAGAGGAAACCATGCAAAATCCTCAGACGTCAACGGGTCCAAGACCTCTATGTTGAACTCGTGCGTCGAATCCCTTGAAGAGCCACTTGAAGACGATCTACTATTACTGTTTAGTCATGATTGATTGATTAGAGCACACTAGTTGGCCCTCAAAATCACGATTTTGACCTCACTGCCGAAAATCGATTTTTTTTTCTTTTCTTGGATTTCGTTTTCTCGCTATTTCTGTTGTGGAAAACCAGAATAGCGCAACATCTGAAATTTCCGTTTCGTTTTTCTTCTGAAAATCCGAAATTTCATTGTTGGAAATCCGGAATATCTTTTTCCCAAAAATTTCGATTTCCTGTTGCATTTCCCGTTATTTGGAAATTCGGAATATTTTTTTTTCGAAATTCGTTTTTTTGAAAACGGTACGGGAAATCCCTTTTGCAGTACCATTTTCCAAACTGAGAATACTCTCATCTGAGTAAATCCGAATACTTGTTATTTCTTTTCAGAATTTTTTTTTCTTTTCACAGTTTTATGATTTTCACTATCTGATAGTCATTGGCAGTCTGAAGTTCGAAAAAAAAAATTATCATTGATACTTTCGCACTTCAAGGGAGGTTGGGAGACCTACTGAACTTGCAAAACTCGGGATTTTTATTTTTTTCAAATTTTTTTTGCAAAGTTCAAACTTTTCTTTTTTTGATTAGTGGCTCCTTATATGGGCGTTATCTGGGTGATTATCCCACCCACCCCTCCCCACCTATGTTGTTGCCCCCTCTGGTCTTACCTTCTCTATCTGTCTCCGGGTACCCCCTGCGGCGGCATTGGTGAGTTGCCACGTCAGCAGACCACGTCAGCAGACCACGTCAGCAGGCCATGCCAGCAGGACACAGCAGCCGAACAGTGCCACGTCAGCAGCAGGGAGTGCCAAGACAGCAGTCCTCCGGCCCGATCAATGCTCATGCGCTTACAAACAGCCGGCATGGATCAAAAGTCCGGGGAAAGGACGAGGCCTATCAAGCCCGAGCAGAGATCAGCATCGGCCGAAAGTGGCCATGGTCGCGGCGGCAACTCCGTTTGACCAAACTAGCGAGGCTGTGTCTGCCAATGAAGGGGACAGACTCGCAGCCGCCCGGGAAGGTGGCCGCTCCGGCAAAGGCCGAGGACGCGGCAAGATGAAGACAAACACCACATTTATCCCCGGGCCCGGCGCAACAGCTTCAGCCCCATAGACCTACTATGGTCAATCGGGAAACTGAGCACCGCCGGGAGTGACTCGACGACACTCTCGACGTCTTCGGAACCGGTCGCTTCGCGGGTGACCGCCCTTCGTTCTGAGGCACATGCGGAAGTCAATAGTCCTCCTCTTATTTATTCTTTTGAGGACTATGCTGCCCGGCTCGTTCCTACGCTGGGTACTCAAGCTCAAGGACAAGACGTGTGTGCAACATCTTCTCCGTCCGGCAGCAGCGACTTATCGTCTTCAAGTGGTTCTTCACAGGATTCGGCGCGCGAGTTTAACATAGAGGTATTGGACCCGCTCACGTCCGGGGATTTCGCATGGCTTCCTCTCCCGACCACGGGCCGCTTGCCGAGACCGCAATGCGCAGCACTATGCGCTCATCTCCACACGTACTTATCCTTCTATGCACCACCAATTTCACCGACGAGTGACGAAGGCGCGGTGGGGGATATCCTTGCGTATGTTACCAAGGTGGCCCGCGAGTTTCGCAATCAGCGGTACGACGACAACAACACACCGCTCCTCTATGTCCGCATCCAAGTTGGGCAAGCGTCCAGCACCGCTTTGTTGGATAGCGGCGTGTCTCGCAATTTTATGAGCCAAGCCTTTATGCTAAGGGATGGCCTTGGCGCACAAGTTCGAAGGAAGGCAAACCCGACGACGATCAAGTTGGCGGACGGAAGGACGCAACAACTTATCGACCGTTACTTCGAGGTCGCACCGGTGTATTTCGTACCTCATGCATGCGAACCGGTGACATTCAACATGTTGGACATGGACTTCGACATTATTTTGAGAATGCCTTGGCTTGCACGTGCGGATCACACAGTCAACTTCCACCGGTGGACTCTTAGCGTTCGCGACGCTTTCGGCGCCGAAGTGCCATGTACTATTCCTCTTCCGCACCCTTCGATTTGCTGCCAAGTGGTGACGACCAAGTCAATTCTTCCGGACCCCCGTGTGGTGCGGTTGCTTGACAAGTTCACCGACATCTTCCGGTGTGGTGCCGGATCAGCCGATCTCTCACGAGATCATTCTTGAGGCCGGTGCCGTGCCGCCGAAAGGCTGCATTTACCGCAGCTACGACAACAGACCGACCGAATGCTTGGTACACTTTGCGTACTGATGCAAGGCAAGCCGGTATCTTCAGCTCCATGTCGCACCCGTGACCAGGTTCCACCTTCAGATCGTCAGCTTCGCCCTCGACCCGGCTTGACTTCATAAGCAGGGGGGGTGTTACATGCTGCACCTGCAATAGGTTGCACAGGCCCTTTTCAGGCCCGTGTTGTTTTCAGCCTGAAAGCCTGAAAACAAGGGCCTATAGGCCCTGTGTCGTTTCGGGCTAAATCAGGGCCTTTCAGGCCCTGAGTATTTTCAGCTTGAAACTGAGGGCTATTTTCAGGCCCTCGTCAGTTCGACCTGCCCCGAAACTCAGGCACCAGACCAGGGTTTTAGCTCAGGCTATTTTTGGCCTATTTTCAAGATAACTTTTGTTTGAGCTTCAACCCCAGGGTCTAGCACGTTTTGGCATTGGCAAGAGCAGCCTCCTGGATGGGCCAGCACTATATAAGACTGGCCCGCCCTGCAGGCTGCAGGTAGTTGGGAGGTAGCTCCTAGGTACTTCCCAGGCACTTCACGTGTAGGCAGGAGGCAGTCGGTAGTCTTCAGGATTCGGCAGCAGCACTCTGGAGGAGCGCTGCAGGAGTAGTTGTAGCGTTAGCAGGTACTCTTCAGCGTTGGGCGCTAGTAGCGTTAGTTGTAGTCTTCAGCATTGGGTGCCATAGCTAGAGTAGTACTAGAGAGAGAGAGATTGGGCGGAGGCCAGGGATACTTACCTACAACCTCGTTGCTCCAGCTTCGTCTTCGAGGTACCTGCAGCACAACACCATCTTCACAGGTTAGTACCTGGCACATGAGAGAGAGAGTTCTTCTTCTTCCTTTTCTCAGTCCACCATCTCCTTCTACCCTCTCGCTATCTGACTTCACTGCATCAGCAGACTAGGAGAGAGAGAGAGAGAGCTTGGTGACATTTGGACCCAGACTCGACATTGGACTTCAAACATATCGAAGAGGGATTATTTGGGACTTGAAACGAGACTTGGTGTTGACGACTTTCCCATCTCCCCCTTCCTCTTCTTCGTCTGATCCCCTCCTCTTCGTCTGTGTATGTCTGGACCTGGCGCCTCTTTCCTGTGTGTAGCACCAGGCCCCTTCACACCTYGTGATGAGCATGATGTATGTTTGGTCTGCGTTGAAACATTGATTGGGCTAGTCATTAGTATTCTAGCATCCTGCTTCGCTATCTTGTACTACGTGAAAGAGGTCAGTCCCAGTCAGGTCAGGACTTGTATCTTAATCTTCCACTGCGCTATAAAACACCAGTTTTGTATGTATCGGAATGCACATTGCTTGTTGAGATTCCACTTGCACTGCATTGTCCATTCAGTTCTTTTTATCACATTGCGGATCCTCGATTTATATGTACATCGCCCAACTGGGCATGTAACACTTGGCTTGGCTCGGCCTGCTTCAGACTGGTACCGGTCAGCCGCGGCCCGTCTACTGCAAACAATTTTGTCGGCCTGGTACCTTCCGGACTTTCCTGGGACATGCTGCAAAATTGGACTTGGGGACTGTCGGACTGGACTTGGACGCTTCTGGACTTTTCTTCTTGGGTACCGGGCAGACCTCTACCGACCTACGACGCTTAGGTACCGACCACTACGGACCTACGACGCTTAGGTACCGACCACTACGGACCTACGACGCTTCGACCTTAGAGCCCTTCGACCTACCCTACGGACGGCCCTAGGGCTTGCGACTGGTTAGGACCTTGGGACCATGACTATGTGTCTGTAGCGTGAATCCTTTCATAATGTGCTATTCGAAAGTTTTCGAGAAAAATGAATTTGCGCCAAAACAGAATTCCGAAATTCAGAAAAAAAAATAAAAAATCAGAATATTATAGTTTGGCAAAAATCGCGAACGGGACTTAATTAGGTTAACCCTAACTAATTAATCAATCAATTAATCAATCAATCGATGAATCAATCGATCGAACAATCAATCAATCAATCCATCCATCCATCCATCCATCCATCAATCAAGCAATCCATCCATCCATCCATCCATCAATCAATCATTCCATCAATCAATTGATCAATCAATCAATCAATAAATCAATCAATCAGTCAATCAATCAATCAATCAATCAACCAATCAACCAATCAATCGATCGATCGATCGATCAATCAATCAATCAATCAATCAATCAATCAATCAATCAATCAATCAATCAATCAATCGACCGATCGATCGATCAATCAATCAATCAGTCAATCAATCAATCGGTCCTACTGCTCGCGAGTCAGGTCTGGAATCCTAATTCACTTGCGAGGCTCCGATTCCAACTGATACATGCTCAATCGAGCGATGTATATGGAGCCAAGGATCCACAAAGTGATGAAAAGGACTCGAGTGGACAATGCCGCATCAGCAAAGCATCAACAAACAATGCACATCCAGATACATACGAAAACAGCATAATGTAGTGCAAGGGAAGACTCAAAGATATGACCTGACCTTTCAAATATGGATGCGACACCCCATCATACAGCACGCATGTGAGAGAGAGGGGAGGGACCGCATATATGGAAGAAAGGTCCCTCCTTGAGCACGCACATGGGGAGATACCACGGATGAGGAGATGGGGGAGAGGCGAGATGAAGATGCAGGTGAGGGAGAAGACCAAGATCGTGATAGAAAAGTCCAAAAATAGTCTCCCTGCCAAATGTCCAATCAATGTCTGCCACAAAATGTCCAATCAGATCCTGGGCCTCATGGCCCAATGTAACCTCTGCCTGTAACCTCTCTCTCTCTCTCTCTCTCTCTCTCTCTCTCTCTCTCTCTCTCTCTCTCTCTCTCTCTCTCTCTGAAAGAAGAAGAAGCAGAAGAAGTTGAAGAAGCAGGAGGAGGAGGAGGAAGGAGGAAGGAGGCGAGGACAGGAAGAAGAAGAAGAAGATGTCGTCCTCCTCACTATCTCACCTGCAGGATGTCATCGCCAGGTACTAACNCTCTCTCTCTCTCTCTCTCTCTCTCTCTCTCTCTCTCTCTCTCTTTGAACGAAGAAGAAGAAGAAGAAGAAAGGAGGAAAAAGAAGATGCTGTCCCCCTCGTTGTCTCACGTGCAGGTAACTGCCACCATGCACTAACTGCCGCCGGCGTGTCTCTCTGTGCAGTTTGCTGGCATGGAGTCCAGCTATGGCGCCCAGGTAAGCACCGCCTCAACAGGTATGGCCTCCTCCTCACCTCCTACCAATGCCTCTACACCTTAGGGCAGCGATGTGTTGTGCTGCTCCAGCAGCGTGTTGCTTAAGAAGTGAGCTACTCGAACTGTGTCTCTGCCCTGGCCTGGCCCAGCTATATGTAGCGCTGGGCCTTTCTGGTTTGCCTATGGTCCTTGGCCTGAAACAACCTGTCTGGGTCCCTACCGGACGTCCATACCCTCCCTGCTGATGCAGCGGGGAGTGTCTGCTACCTGACGAACACAAACCTGGCCCGAAAGGGCCTGCCTGTGAACGAAGAAGGCCCAAAACCTGTCTTTGTCCGAACAGACCAAAAGTCTGTTCAGTGAACTGCAAGTCCGAAACGGCACCTGAACAGAAAAATAGGACAGCAAATAAATAAATAAATAAATGAATGCTGCCTCAAATTGAATCCTGCGGCCCTAAGGCCGGCCGTTGGCCTCCACGACGCATGTCCGAAGGGCGTGCGGCCTGGGGGCCCCCAACAACCGCCGGGCCCCCAAAATGGGGCTCGTGTGCAGGCTCAGAATGTAACAAAGTGTCCATGTCAGCAGGTAACGGGAGTCAGGTGAGTTTGGCGATGAGTCGCTGCGGCGCCCTAAACCAGGCGACTCCTTCTATCCTCCCCCCTTCCACATCAGCACCCTTTCGCCAGTCCGTGTTCTAGTGCCACTTCAGCACTTCTCTTGCCGACAGGCACTGATTACACCAGCCAACCTGTGAGTTATCAAGCAGCGATGGTAATAGACAATGTTGCTCTTCTCCTCCGTGGCTGACACCTCAGATCCTCGTCACCATCATCATCATCATCATAGTTGTGTGAAATGTCTCAACCAGCAGATGGTAAGGAAGGAAGATATCGCTCCGATACCAAATTGCAATGAGCCCCGTCAGATGAGAGGATCGTGAATGTTGAAATACAAGTCCGACACAGCGCAACATCAATGTCTCCAAAAATCGTTTATGTCTGATCTCTGGGGTGTGTGGGGGGGGGGAGGGGAGGGGTACAGGAACCTTGTGGGAGGTAAGGTTGAATGGTTCAGGGTGCTTAACGGATAAGTTCACCGCTCGAGGGGAGTACTTGACTCACATACAAGTGGCCTCATGGGCCACCTGCGGAGACCACATGGGTAGGTGGGAAATGGCATCATAGGTAGAATACTGCCTGGGGTAGTCCAAGTAGTTAGAGTCTGCCTGATGACCAGCAGGTGCGAGTCAATGCTTGTCTCATTGATTAGGACCACCTGACTGGCTGGTCGTCTCTAGGCAGTGTGCTGACATTGGGGTGTTATGAGCATGATTGTCCGTTGAAATTTTATGAACACTCACTCACAGGAACTCCCGTACACGCCCATACATGCACAGAAGGAAGGGGAGAGGTACTGGAGGGTCACACCGCCCAGAAAAGAAAACGCAGTGGATAACTCAGAGACGCAAAGTGACAGAATACACAATTAGTGAATTCTCTCCACAGAAGTCCCAACAATCATTCATAGAAGACAACCGAGTGATCACAGCTAGAAATCAATGAAGAGATGACAACTGAAACACAGTATTACAACTATTTATTAAACTCAGAGCATCATTTTCCCTAAATAACCTCAAATCCCTGTTGCGCTACCCTCAGAGGGGTAGCGCCTCAACCCCACACACCGAGCAGCTAAAAATAGCACCAGAACTCCAGGTAACACCCAGTGCCACCCTGACATCCAACTCAGTGGCCTGCGCCAAGATGAAACAGGCTCCCAGAGCCAATCGCCACCCAGCTGATGAAGAAGAAGCTTAGCGCTAACAATCCCTGATGAAGATGAAGTCCAGACGATGATATCCTCTGAGAAGATGCAGCTCTGGCTACATCGCCACTGGGACCCTACTCCTGAGGAAGGTCAGCAGTGCACCACGTGCTCCAACACATCAGACCTCTGATAGCCCAGACCGCTTTGACTCCCAGGGAGTCAGAGCGGACAGCGTTGGCCCAAGTCTGGTCATCGCTCCGAAGGTCTGGCTATGTCCGTTGTCTCCCACACCGGAATCAGCAACCACAACCTGATACCGTGTGCGCAGCAACTTCCACCGCGAAGTGTCGACTGCCAAAAACCCAGGATCGATATCCCCATCCTATCTATACCCTAGACTAGCCTAGACACGACCTAGACCGGACTGACTGACCGACCGGTACCGTTTCTGTTTCGGCCTCTAGGGCCTCTCCCTACCCGGCTATAGGCTATAGGACCGTCTATCAGCGTAGGCCCATTGGGCCTATCTGTCCTAGGGGTAGCCCGGGTCTGCTCTTCGCAGTTAGGGTAACTGTAGGAAATTTGAGTTAGTATTGGGCCCATATCCCTATATTTACAAATATGTCCCTCACGAATTTTCCTTACAGGTAGGTCTCTCGGTTAGCCCTCAGCCAACCAAAATTACGAATCTGGCCCTACCTATGGTACAGCCTCGTCTGAGAGAGGCTACAAGCAACCTGGAACCAGCAAGTCATTGTAGACCTACCCTCCCCCGGAGCGAGGACCTCCGAGATAGGGGCGTAGGTGTGCAGAGCGTCGAAGGGGTTCTCCCCTTTGCGCAGCCTCATATTTGAGGATAACAGACTTTGCTGTTTTCAGAAGCTCCTTGCGAGTAAACCAATGATCCTCAGTATGGGGCTGGTAAAAAAACTTCACAAGGTACTCCTTATCCGGGCCTGCACCATACTCATCCTCAACTTTTTCCACCTCATATCCCTTCCCAGGGAACAGGGTAGGTTTGTAGATGCAGTGGGACATCCACGTGATAAGATGGCCCAAAAGGGTCAACTCCCACTGTATCCAAAACCTGCCATGGACCCATGTAACGCGGCAACAGCTTGGGCGAAATATCCTATTCCCGCGATAGCTCAAAACTGAGTACCCAGACCCAGTCACCAGCGCGGATGGGGGATGGTCGACGATGCTTGTCAGCCTGCTGGATCATAGCCTTTTGGGCTTTGAGCAAGTTGACTCTCACTCGTTCGATATCCCTCTCGTATGGACTGGTGAACGCTGCAGGCCCAGGAGTCAGTCTGGGGGTAGCCTTAACGACGATGTCATCGAGAGGCTGCCGTGGCTCACGTCCCCAGTGCAACCGATAAGGGGTGAACCCTATGGAGGAGTGTACAAATGTGTTGTACACTAGCTGTGCCCGTCCTAGATGGCGATCCCAATCCTGCTGATCAGGGCTGATCACAGGACGCAGCAACTGGAAAAGAATCTGGTTCATCACTTCAGCCTGCCCATTGGCTTCAGGATGACGACCAGATGTCATATCCAGTCTGGAATGGAGGTAGTCCTTGCAATAGGACTGCCACTCATTGCTGCAAAAACGCAGATCTCTATCGCTGACAATGGAGGTGGGTGGTCCATGATGAGTAACCCACCGATCTGCAAAGGCCGCCTGCACGGCCGGGACTCTGGCTTCCTCTGGCAAAGGAATAAACTCTGCGTACTTGGAGAACCTGTCCACACACACCATGACCTGGCGCATACCGCGAGGAGTGGTCCTCCCCAGGTCAGTGAAATCAATAGCCACTGACTGTGCTGGTGCATCAGGGATGGGAAATGGTTGCAGCAGGCCAAGGGGAGGTCGGCGAACGACCTTGTTCCTTTGGCACAACTCACAGGTTTCAACATAGTGCAGCAGGTCTTTCCTCATCTCTGGCCAGAAGAACCGCTGCGACAGGGCCGCCAACGATTTCAAGGCCCCAAAGTGGCCGCGAGCATCATGACTCTCAGACATAATGAGTGTTCTCAGCTGGCGGTCCTGAGGGATGCATATACGTTCCTCTCTTCTGCTGCAAGTGTACAGCAGATCTGAAACCAGAATGTATCCTGGTTCAGAGGCAGGATCAGTCTGCAGATTCCTGACAATCGGGCCAAAAATCGGGTCCTGCGGCAATAACTGGGCAATGGTCTAACGGGTGCTCTCCCCAAAAGTATGAGTAGAGGAGATCAGGCAGAGAGCGTCAGGTCTACGAGAAAGGGCGTCTGCTACACGGTTGTAGCAGCCCTTCTTGTGTTTCAGTTCAAAGTCAAACAGATCAATGAACTGAATATAGTGCGTAAGCTTGTCATTCAGTTCAGCTTGGGTCTTCGTCCACTGTAAGGTGGAGTGATCTGAATAGATCTGAAAGTGTCCATGAGGAAATGTTTCCAATGCTTTAGCGCTGACTTTAGAGCATACAACTCTTTCTCGTACGTAGAATCCTGCATCTTCTTTACTTTAATCTTCTTAGTCATATACTCAACTGGCTGCAGACCATGCCCACCATCCTGCTGAAGTACTTCCCCAACCCCATACTGGCTAGCATCAGTAATTAGTACGAAGGGCAGGGTAGGGTCAGGTAACTTCAGAACAGGTGCACGCATCAAGGCCTCCTTGAGGCGTGTGAAAGCCTGCTGACAGTCTGATGTCAAAAGAAAGTGGGTGTCTTTCTTTGTGAGATCAGTCAGGGGTGCAGCAATAGCAAAAAAGTTCTTAACGAACTTTCTGTAGTATGATGCAAGGCCCAAGAATGACCAGACATCACGCACTGTGGTAGGTTGTGGCCAGTCCTGAATTGCAGCAACCTTGGTTGCTTCAGGAGCTAGCCCTTCCCCAGAGATTACATGTCCCAGATAAGTCGCAGAAGTCGCTCCAAAGGAGGACTTTTCCCTGTTGATCTTATATTGGGCCTCATGTAGTACCTAGAGAACTAGAGCCAGATGTTGCGCATGCTCCTCGACAGATCGACTGAATACCAGGATATCATCCAGGTATACAACTACAAACCTGTCCAGGTAAGGCCTGAGTATGCGATGCATCTCTGTCTGGAATGTGCAAGGGTCATTGCAAAGACCGAAAGGCATGACCATGTACTCATAGGTGCCGTATCTGGTCTTGAAGGCTGTCTTGTGGACATCGCCTTCAACCATCTCAATCTGGTGGTAGCCAGATTTGAGGTCGATCTTGCTAAAGATGGTGCAACCCTGCACCATATCTAGCAGATCATCAATCCTAGGAAGGGGCTCTGTAGACTTCCTAGTGATCTTATTGAGACCCCTATAGTCGACGCACATCCTGAATTCTCCATTTCCCTTTGGAACAAAGAGAATTGGAGCCCCAAATTCAGATGTGTTGGGTCTGATCCAACCCTTGTTGGTCAGGGTCTCAAGCTGTCTCCTGAGCTCATCGAGTTCAGCAGGGGACATCTTGTAGATACGGCCCTTGGGAGAGACCGCACCTGGCAGGAGCTTAATCCTGTGTTGGGTCTGCCTATGGACAAGTCCAGTAGGCTCCTGCATCAGGTCTGGAAACTGGTCCAAAACCTGTTGAGTCGGTGGGGGACAAGGAGCAGCATCCACACCAGTCTGTTTCACATATGCGACAAACAGACGTGTGTGGGCAGTCTGGCGAGAGAGCTGGAAAAACTCATGTGCTCTCATACAATAGCAATTGCTGACTGGATGGTACTCATCAGCCAGCACACAAGGCTGATAGTCCCCTCTACAGTCAGGGAGCTCTACCCTGGGGATCTGCCAGTCGATCCTAGGGTTAGTGGCCTCTAGCCACTGCATGGAGAACACAAGATCAAAAGGCACGTTAGGGAAAACATAGAAGTTCAGGCGCTGCCTGACCTTCGCCTGCTTGTCAAAGATAACTGGTAGGTTCTTGACAGCAGAGGTAATCCGGACTGTGGAAGAGTCCCTAATACGAACTTCCAATGGCTGCTGTAACTTCACCAATCTCCCATCTGAGTGCAACTTGCTGACAGCCTTGGGAGAGATGAAGTTGCGCGTAGCCCCACAGTCTAATAAGCCCTTGATCCTGGCTCCCAGGATGGAGGGCCGCAGCAAGATGAGGTCTGATTTATGCTTTTTCTTTTCCTGCAAAGACAGGAAAAGATCAGCAAAAGTCTGACTGTCATCTTTCTGCCACGTCTAATCCAGGTCAGGGTCCACGTAAGTGAAGGATCCTGACTCAGCAACTCCAAAAGAGTCAGTGAGGGTAGATGCATATTCAGACTCGTCAGAATCTGAATCAGCACAACTGGAGGGAGCTGCTAACTCCACTTCCCTTTGCTGGTCTAGTTTTTTTAACTAGAACCAGGTTTGCAAGGCATGTGGGGACAGTCTTTCAAGAAGTGGTCCCCCTCGCAGCGAAAACAAACCTTACGCTCCTTCCTTTTCTGCCATTGCCCTTCCTGGATCCTGAGCGCCCTCCAGGGAAGGGTGGAAGGATCCATGACGTTAACTGGCCAATGGACGTCTCGTGGTAGGTTAGCTCTCTGGGCCTGAGGGGAAGAGGCACGTCCCTTCCCTTTCCCCTTCTGGCTGACTGAGCCCTTGCTGCTATTGTTCCCCATCTTTCCTTTGAACATGGCAGCAAGGTTCTCAGCCAGGGCAAGAACGGTTGGCTCAACTGCTGATGATGCAGTCTCAGATGGAGGACTGCCACACTGAGATGCATTAGAATCAGAACCTGCATCAGCAGCCAATAGAGCACCCTTCTTCCTGCGCCGTCCCCTGGAAGAGGGTCTCCTCCTTCCTTCAGAAGGTTCCTGAACCTTGAGCCGAGACTCCAGGTCCAGGGCCGCTTTGCCAAAGGACCTCCAGTCCTTGTGGCCCTGAGAGTAGAGAGCAATCGAGTAGTCTGGAGGCGCTGCGCGCAGGAAGTGAGTGAGCTGGTCAAACTCACTCATCTCCAAACCAGGTGTAGCAGTCAAGCTCTCAACAGACTGTAGAGCTTGGACAAGGAACCCTCAAATCTGCGTGAGCCCAACAACAGTATCTTATCTGCTGCTTTTCGGGCCTGTTCCCTGTCTGCAAACCGGTCTCGCAGGGCCTGCAGCAAGCCCTCCACCTTCAACTGTTGTGCCCATTTGTCCATAGGCAGATTCTGTTTCGTTGCAGAGGAGGTGCACCACTTGGGTGCAGTCCTCTCCAGACGACCCAGAATGGTCCCTACCTTTGTCACCTCTGGACATACAAAGCTGCCCAGGTATGCCCGGATAGCGGTGACCTAGTCTGATACATCCACCTTGGGGTCTTCCCCAGAATACATTGGAGGTGGTGTCAGCTTGGGCTGCCGCTGATCAGATGTGCCAGAGGGAACAGAGGTAGCAGACACATGGGAACCAGCAGGTGAAGTTGGACGACTGTGGGATGGTGAAACGGATGCTGGGACAGGTTGAAGAGGTTGGGGAGAAGGTACATGAAGTTGCAAATGTTGCATAATCTTGTTGACACTCGCTGTCAGGGAATCAAGGCTTGCTGTCAACTAATCGACCTTGCGGTCGATGGCAGAGCATTGATTCTCTACAGCGAGAATCCGCTGATCCAGTTAGAAAAGTAAGACCTGTTGAGGGTGTATGTTAACAACACCAACTCAGCAGTATCCTTACTATATTTACTGGAGGTACCACTGGTAACAACTTTCTCAACCTCCTTACGTAACTGTCTCCTCCTCTCCTCCTTCCTGCTAGCCTCCTCAACTTCCTTCATCTCCCTCTTCAGCCGCTGGACATGGGCCTCTGCCTTTCTGCGGTTTTCCTCCGCTTCAAGCAGGGCATGTTCCAGGGGGGAGCGAGGGAGTGGGGGAGGGTGAGCAGAAGGTTCTCCTTCCTCAACCTTTGTCTCAGCGTCAGCCATAATAAACCACACACACAGTCAAATAAATATAGACAGATAGATACAAGGTCAGCAGGGATTAAGATTACACACACAACCACTGATGTAATCACTGCCACCTGATGAGAAGAGACGTGGTGAATTAGGCAGAACAGCGCTCAGCCTCAGTAGGCCGCTAAGGGCTATTCTGGGTTAGTTTAGGGTAATTCCAAATAAAACCAGCTTGCGATTTTTCATTCACAGCCCAGAACCCTCATTTGAGTGCAATAACCCCAGAATCGCTGTCAAATAGTTAGACAAGATGCAACCTTGGACTGTAAGTAGGAGGTCAGAATAACGCAGAGAGTCAGTAGTGATTAACAGAACCCAGTAGTCAACCAAGATGCAGCGAATGACTGATCAAGCTATTTTTAGACTCCTACTACTGACACTGGCACTATAGGACCCTGTATGCCCCACTATAGGTGAGACGAAGTACATATATCATTGTACCTGACTCAAATCATCAAACCCAGTAGTGCGCTTTTAGACACTGACTCAATGTTGAATTGCGATTTCAGGGTGACCGACAGACTGAAATTCTGACGCACAAAACCTAAGATATGACAAACCCTAGCTGCCTCAAGCACTAGCTATAGCAGCGCAACATTCAGAATTTCATTATCACTGACATACAAACCCTGAACTACTCAATTCACTATATGTACTGAATCGCAATATTGTAGTACAATCAGAGATGTAATTTGAGACAGAGAGGAGGTCAAACAGAGTCAGTAGAAGTCAAAGTAGGTAGGTAGGGGAAATAGTTATGGCTGTTAGGCAGTGCGATTTTCAAGTTTTACTGTCTACATGCATATAGTTTCGATTTTCCCAGTCTAATCCCAACTATCAGACTCGCTACAGGGACTTGAGTAAGGAACACACTTACTTTAGGTCAAAACACTGGAAGAAGAAGCAGAACTGGCTATGGCTGCCATCTCGCCAGTTTCTTCAATTCACTGTTCCTGGTGCTCCCACGTTCCAAATCTCCTGAAACTTGGTGATACTATAGTTCTTTATATGGCGATTAATCCCCACTAATCAGATTCACTGTATCCGGTCCAGAATCTGAAACTCCACATACCCCCAGGTATCTCGCCACCAGCAGAGCCAACGCCTGGGCTAAAAATAGCCCCTCAGTGCCTCCCAGGCCACTGAGCACTGAATTGCCACCAATCTCTGTGTCATACCAACCGCCACACACTCCTCACCAACACCCTACTCAGCGCAGTACTGAAGATGCGATTCCAACATGAAACCCAACGTCAGAAGCTCTCAGGTAGTGATGGCTGCCTCGGTCCATCATCTCGCCACTGTTTGGGTCCGATCTGCTCCGATACCAACTGTTATGAACATGATTGTCCGTTGAAAATTTATCAACTCTCACTCACAGGAACTCCCGTACACGCCCATACATGCACAGAAGGAAGGGGAGAGGTAGTAGAGGTTCACACCGCCCAGAAAAGAAAACACAGCGGAAGACTCAGAGACGCGAAGTGACAGAATACACAATTCAGTGAATTCTCTCACATAAGTCCCAACAATCATTCATAGAAGACAACCTAGTGATCACAGCCAGAAATCAATGAAGAGACGACAACTCAAACATAGTATTACAACTGTTACATACTTCAATGAGTATGGGCAGAACCAAAGATCAACCAATATAGGATGAGCATTTATGCAGCGGAAGTCTGATAACGAACTGACTCACATAGACTGACTCACACCAACTGACTTACATGGCATCACTCCACACACATACAATCATGAGATGGTGGGGTCTGGGTCATT